TATTTCCAAACATTCATAGTCACCGACTTCTCCACTCTCCAGTATTATCCTCTATATCTTCTTCTCGAAGGCCAATAAAGCTCTTATAAGTATGTTCGTGAGGATGTGGCTGGGAGAAACTGCAATGAGGGCAAACGAGTGGGAGAGCTCAAGGCACCTCATTCCCTCTTCCTATAATATGCACTGTAATGCATGCCATGATTGAAGAGTCCTGAGACTTCCCACCAGGTAAAGGGAGGCATTAAGTGGAGCTGAATACATGTATTTTAGAGGGAACAAAGGAATTATGCCTAAGCTTGTTCCGAATGCCACTCCATGTGTACAAGGGTAAGAAAAATCATAACATAACAACTAGACATCAGGTGGTCACATGTACAAAGTAATGAAATGATGCCAATAAAGCTCCTGATAAGCCATTCAAAAGGAAGTTGAAAAATATTGACGCAGTGGCTGCAGATGCTGAAGTTGGAAATATTTATAAACTATGACCAAATTATTGAGCATCAATGGAATCCATTGTATTACTCTTTGATCAATCGTGCCAAAAGCTTTTGGGTCAATCTTTTAGCTTGCTTTATGCATAGTGCCTTGAGATTTCGTCTTCTTATTTCTTAACAAAGTTTTAGAATATGATATAAGCTGGAGTGTTTAATTTTGCCTTTATGGAGGAAAGGCGTGAAGTAGTTCGAACGCGAGTCCCATGCATGAGGATCGTGAATATTCCCTCTCCGGGTGATATCTGCTATCCGGCTCATCTATACTCCTATGCTCGGTCTTTCTGTACTCAGTGCCTAGTAAATCTACTGCAAACAACCCTCTTTTAAAGTTCGAGGTTAAAGGGCATGAGAGTAAGCAGGCAGTTCCTACATGGAACTTCACGATTTGTCCTACGGCTCGCAACAGTGAAATATAGTCATTGAAATTCTTGCGTTGTTCCAGGTCTGCGCAAACATCATACAAAGAGGACTGAAGTTAACTCTCCCGTACACAGAGATTCTATGATTTTCGAGTAATCTCATATTAACAGCCGGTTAAGTAAAAAATTGGTTTAGCCTGGGAAAGTGCCAGACCGAAGGAAGTTTAAATGATCACTTATGCAATTTAATGGTGCAAAATAACAATTTCAGTTACAATAGATCGAATTGAAAAACATGATCTCTGTTGTCACCTCAGTCCTTGCATGGCATTAAATCTTTTTCAATGCGTAGTTTGGGGAAGTTCTCACGATCGTCTGGCCAATGCTGTATTTAATTTGATTTGTGATGAATAGTAGCCTGCCTCGAGGCGGGTTATTTGTCTCTCCAAATACTCTGTTGCCTGCCGTGATATAGCGGATGGGGTGCGCGTT